AAGAAGAAACAACAAATTTGTTGTTTCTCTGTTCCGTTTCCTGTTCCTTCTGATCAGCCAATAAAATTTAATTTTGATTGTGTAACAAGGAACAGGAAACAGGAACGGAACAACTTTGAACACCCCTATTGGATCACCTAATTTTTGATTTATTTCATTTAAATTGTACTTTGATTTGAATATATAATTTGATCCAAACTGATTTTAATTTGATTTGATTTGAACTGATTCAAATCTATAGCAGTCATTATCATTCATTAGTTGTATTTATTATTTAGGTTTAATGAATTTATTAATGAGTTGTGCAACTGTAAATTATATTACTTTTTTATTCATCATTATTGTTGTCAATTAACAAATTAATTGGCCTAAACTTGGGTGAAACTAATTTTAATAATAGTTGGAATTGGGAGAGATTATTTTAAGTTTTTTAAAATAAAGTAAAGTTGATTCAGATACTTATTATATGTTTGTTATTATAAAAATATTGGGCCATCATGGTATTGGGAAAAACTATCTTTTTTTCAAAAACAGTTTCAGCCATCATCATTAAATAATATCCTTTATCAATTTTAAACTTGGTTTAGCAAATAGTTTGGGCAAATATAAATTTTTTTTCCAAACATCCATTATTATCAATATAGAAAGTATTTTGAAAAAAGACATATTGAGATTTTACTTGAAATCCAAAAAAATGAACTTATCACAAATCAAAATAGTAAAAGAACCTATGAACTCGGATTTATGACCAGATCATTGTTTAATTTCCTTATTTTTTAGAACCAATCCATCATCTGCAGATGCTTTATGGAAAAAGAAAAAGAAAATTTATGTGGAAAATGAGAAGTGGAAAACCAGGCGGTGTGTATTATTCTCTGCATATAATATATATTACATTTTTGCTGCAAACTCTAGGATTCGATCTGCAACAATACAGAAATGGATGCATTAAAGCTCATAGAAACAGCATGCATGAAGGAGATTTTGAGTTCACTGAAGCAGAAGCCTGAGGACATAGCAAATACAAAAAAAAAAACAGTGCAAGTTATCTAGGCAAGAATACATGATACAAATATTATTCCCATCCTGTCCATTGAGCTTGTTGTTTCTTTATATTAGCAGGAACAATACTGAATATTATGAATCTAATGATTCAGGAGAGACCAATTGATGTTGAACAAAGTGAAGAAATTAAGAGGTATTTTGTTATTTGTTATCTTTTATGTATAACAATTATCCTTGCTTGAGGGAAAGGATTAAAAAAATTACTTTCTTTCATACCTATCTCCTAGAATAAGGTGGAATTTGAAATAAAATACTTCAAGTTTTAGCTAAACATCAAGGCAAAGAAAAAAATCAGAAGATCATATGTCATCAATATATCTTGATCCATTGTGTCCATTATTGTTTTATTAATGGCAATGGACCAGTCAATTTGCCAACCCTGCTTCAATGGCATAATAGGTTTGCCTGATGCAGAAAAATTGAAAATCCCTTAATGAATATCAGTTCACATGGCTTAACGCAATTCTTAAAAATGAACATCAAGCCAAACTGACGAGCTCAAAAAATACACGAGCCAGCAGATGTCCTATTCATTCATGGCCAAAAAATCAAAAAAATTGTTCATACAGCTAGAAGAAATAATGTCTGCACAACTTTGCTGCAAGATATACCAGAAAAAAAGAAAGCCACAAAGGAAGTTAGCGATATTTCGCATTTATACCCCAAATCACCTTGTCCTGGATCACTGAGTTCACCATTGGTTTACTTGCATGTATAGAAGTTTAAATTGGTTTTGTTCATGTATATGTAAAAATCTGAGAACATAAAAATTATTTCTTTTAATTAGTAAAAAGTCCAATGAAACTGATGGCACGGAATCTGTTGAAGAAGACCCTACAACCAATAAATTTTGTGAAGAAATTAAACATTGGATTAATTTACTTGTTAAAACAATCATCCCGAAACTTTGTATATTAAAGGCACTTGGTACGAACATGGAAAGTATGGTAAGAAAGTTAAGCCAGTTAAAGCCTACAAGTTATATTTATCATCAACAAAGTGTGATTTTTCAAAGGCAGCATACAAAGTTGCTCAATATTGTGAAAGAAATCGAGATGTCAAAAGAGCAATTCAATTTTACAAAAAAGCGCAGCACAAGGAAATGTTCTATCATTATATGTAAGTCACGTAAAATTGATCACTTTTTTTTATCTAATGAATTTTTAATTGATTTATTGTTCAATTAGCGACTTGCTCAAATTGATATGCTGGGTGATTTGAAACAAGAAAGTAATCATAAACAAGCCTTAATATATTTGAAACAAGCAGCGGCAAAAGCAGACGAAGAACGTCCAGAAGTAGCATATGTTTATGGAATGTTGTTAGTCAAACAGTATACAAAGGCGAATATTCCGGCTGATCTTGTTTAGCCAGTTGATTATGCAGCCAAGGACTTCATAAAAAAAGCTGCAAACTTAGGTTACGGGCCAGCTTTATACAAAATGGGGCATTGTTACGAGTATAGGCGACCTACTTGTTCATTTGATCCTTTACTTTCTATTTCATATTATAAACGAGCTTCAGAAGTGAGCGAAGAAAAGGCAGACTTGGCATTGAGTAGATGGTATCTTTGTGGAGCTAAAGGTTGTTTTGATCCAGATGAAGCTTTAGCTTATGAACACACTGAAAAGGCTGCATTAAAAGGAATTGCAGAAGCTGAATTTATGATGGGATATTTTTATGATGCGGGAATCTATGTGCCTGCGAATGTTCAAATAGCAAATGAATGGTTTACAAAGGTACTAAAAATATAAATTTTTTGTGCAATTATTATGTACGCTTTTGCGCAATTCATCAATTTAGGGTGACCGAAACTTTTGGGTAGGTAGTGTATTTTAAATCATCCATATCTAGGCTGCCGAGAAAGGTAACGAAGATGCAAAAAAAAAAAGATTGGGTAAGAGAATAACTAATAAAGAGTTTGAAGAAATTATTGAACTAAAAAAACAATCTAAAGATTGTATTGTACAATAATAAATCAAATTAATTTAATAATTTAATGTGTAGAAATATCATTCATTGTATATTGTTATTAATAAAAAAAATAGATTTTAATTATTTATATCGAGTTTGAAATTTGCTGTCAGTCATTGAAAGAATCGAAAAAATATGTCTGAAGGAAAATTAGATAGATAATTACCAGTAACCGAGACATTGGCCAAGGTGTGTGTATATACTATATATACAAGATTTGAATTAATGTATTTCTGAAATAAATAAATAAATAGAACAGTTAATGGGGCTTGAAAAGAAAACACGTCAGATATTTAATTTTCATTATTTTTGGAGTTATTAAAAATTAATTATTTTGAAATTTAGGCAGTTGATTTGGCTTCTCCTACTTGTGTATTAGTTTACATTGTTAAATTATGTTATCAGGCACATGAGACTGGAAATTATTAAATGAATAAGTAATGTTACTTTCAAAGAAAAATGGACAATTGAAACAGGTGCAATTATTCTTTTAATTAAATTAGATGCATATCAACAAAAGAAGAAAGAAAGAACCAGAAGAGAATTCACTTCAATTCAATTCATCTGATTTATTTTAGGCAATCATAAAAATGGTTCAAGAAGTTATGACTTATTTTGATAATACACCAGACAAAACAACAAAACTAGAGTTAATTGATACTTTACGCACAGTTACTGAAGGAAAAGTATGTGGATATTAAATTGATACTGTCGAAATAAAAATTAATTTCCTGCTATTTATTTATATATATATCTATATATCTATAGATTTATGTAGGAGTTGAATGTGCAAGATTGACACGTTTATTATCTGAGATCAGAGAGGAAGAAGGCAAAATTAATGAGGCTGCTGGCTGATATTTTACAAGAATTACAGGCTTTTAATTATAAAATTTGTTTGGGTGTTTATGGTTTATATATTTGTAACTGATATACATGTATTGACACATATAAAGTAAAGAGACATTTGGATCAATGGAGAAAAAAGAAAAGACAGATTTTATTTTAGAACAAATGTGACTAACTTTGGCAAAAAAAGATTATACAAGAATGCAAATTATTAGTAAGAAAATCAACACAAAATTTTTTACAAATGTTAAACAACAAGTATGTATATATATGTGCTTATTATTTTAGTATTTGAAGATTATATAATTAATAAATTAATATTTATGTTGTAGGATTTTAAATTTCGGTATTATGAGTTAATGCATTGCATGAAGACCAACGCTTGAATGTTTGTAAATATTATAGACATGTATATGATACACTATCAATCAAGGAAGATGAATCTAAATGGAAAGGTGTGAGTTTATAAAGTTTCGTATAATAATATATATTTATTTATTTAAAGAGTTTTTTTTCAATAATAGGTTTTAGAAAACATAATTTATTTATTATTCTTTCACCTTATGATAATGAACGAACCAATTTATTAGATCGTATATACAAAGATCCTAACCTTGTCAAATTGGCTTTACACTAGTAATTTATTTGTCAATTTATAAAATTATTTTGTTCTTAATTATAATTTTTTTAATAAAAAAAAGTGAACTTACTAAACATTTTATAACACACGAATTGATTCCATGGTCTATGATTCAAGAAATAAATGGTAAAGCATTGAGACAAACATTAATCTTTTTACAAAGTGATTGATGAATATGGAGAAAAACATTGACAAGATTTGCATAAATGAGTGATTGAACATGTATGTAAAATAGAAAAAGAATTATTATTTTTATTATTTGTTGAAAATTATTATTATTAAATCAATACTTTTAATATTTTACATATATATATAGAATATACGTATTGTAGCAAAATATTATAGAAGAATTAGAACAAAGAGATTATCCTCAATAATTGGATCTTAATGATCAGGTAAATAAATAAACATATTTAAATTTAAAAAAATATATTTATAAATCATTGAATCAATTGACTGGTTAAGTTGTTTGATTGCTCTAATTCTTTGAGTCTGGTCATAAGCCTGGCATTCTCTTTTCTCAATAAATCTAGTTCGGATTGGATGTTCGATAATATTTTTTTATGCAAGTATAAGGGATAGATTTATTCAAATTTCGAATTAGTGTATGGAGTTCACTTTCCACAAAAGATAAAATTATGTGCGCGTGAACAATTGTTCGCACCAGTCACATTAGCAAGAAAAAGCGATTATATATACAAGAATCATCAAAACACCTGGGTCAGTTTATTAATTGCTTTATATAATTGCAAATGCGAACTACATTTCTTTGTGTAATAACAGATTGATTTGGTTTTGTTATCTAACTTAGAGATGAAAAACAAATACAGCTAATTTGCTCTTCTGATACTATTCTAACTATTACGAAACCTGCAATCGAACAGAGGTCGTTAGAAACATGAGATGTAAAGGAAGCAATCAAAGAAATATTCATAATATAACGCACCATAAATTCCTCAACATCAGAGACATGCCTCGTATTATTATTCGCATCCCACCAACATGAAGTCATTCTAGTCTTTGTAAAGCTAAGGTCATGCCAAAAATATAGGATTCGAAGATCTTTTTCCAATTGAGACTTAGTTGGCCAGCATGGCTCCGAAATGGCGTTTGCTTCACAGGTGAAATGAACAATCCATGTTTCATCTGCAGGGAGTTTCTTGTCATATATGAGTGCCCGTTCATAATGTTCCTTAAGCTCTTTTTTTGTTGCCGTAGCTAAAAGTTCGAACACAATTTTTGGGTGATCAGATCGTGAGATGACTATGTCAACATATTTATTATTAATATGCCCACTAGCACAATATTTTAGATGCCATTGTCCCGTTACTCTAAATCTATCAAGCCAATTTGACATGATCTGGTAAAGTTCTGCATCATACACTGATTCTCTGACTCCTTGATTATTTGCATTATTAACCAGCACACGTGCTAACTTAAAAGAGTTGCAGGACTTTTATTGTTTCTTGATCAAATACACAGATAACTTGCTTCAAGGCCTTAAGGATGTCTAAGGTACCTATGGAAGGATAATAGGGAACTTCTACTTTAGGTGAAGTTGGAAACGTCGGATGAGATTCACAGCACGCTAGTATTGGTATCATCTTTCAGAAGGGACTCCTTCATCCTTATAAACGTAGAATATTCTAAAATCTCATTTCCGAGTAAGAAAGCAGTAAAACATTCTCATATCTCGAAGCTAAGATGCGTTCCATTTTCTAGTACTGGGAATAGCTTTCTAAAGATTGCACGCCCACAAAGGCAGACAAGGCCAGCATGTCTGTTAAAATAGGACAGAGTAAGTTAATCAAGAATTTCAGTAAAGATGCTTTAACATGACTATAGTCACTTACCCGTTTGTCTGCATATATATGTCATCAATAACCTCATGGTCAATAGTCAGTTTAAATTCGTCCGCAAACTGCTTGTATAGGAACTGCACTTGTTCCAGAGTGAAATTTGGGTTTTGAAACGGTTCATTAACGTTGAATGGTGACGTAGTCAAATTATTCGAGTTCAAATACAGGATACTGAAGGGTCCGATGGCAAAAACAGACCAGATAGCATAATTTTTCTTTGTTCCTTTAATGCCACGGATGGTATTTAGACACGAAGAGAGAACATCTTCAGTTGCATTATACAACATATCAAATTCATCAATGAATATAACAACACGATTCTCCCATTTGCTCTTCTGAAACACTATATTGAAATCATTAGCAGACTTGATGCTATTGAGTTTAATGTATTTGGAAGCATCAAGATGAATTTGAGTGCCAAATGTCTCCCAGAAATTGTCTACACTTTTAATGTTAATCTGTTCAAGAGATACACTGATCCAGATAGAAAAAGAGACAGTATAAGTGAAGAAAATAGAGACAATAGCTAGATTTAATGCAACGGGACCAGTTGGTTAAACGAGAATCGGAACTTACTAAATGCGAACATAGCCTTCGTTGTTCAACTGCTTCTGAATTTGGTGACCCGCGTAGACTTGCCAGATGCTCTAGCTCCATGTAGAGTCACAAATTGACCTTCATGAATCTTCTCAAGAAGTGGACGACTCTCTTCTGTTGGATTTACAAAGTATACAGAGTGAACTATACTTGGTTCGATGACACCATTTACTTCCCATCTCCTTTTATTTGGCTTAGTGATCGTAACTGATCAAACAAAAAATTAGTGAGTAAAAGAACAAGGCATTACGAATGATGTAGAGCAAAGCCAACTCTAAATAATCTTACGTTCTTCCTTTGCCTTCCTTTTTTTCTCATGCTCTATTATTAGCGAGGTAAAAGTTAAAAAATGAAATGACAGCGAGAGAGGCAGTGTAGGTTTGGTATATTCGAATGCAGTCGTGGTACTTACCTCGCGTTTCGCCTTTAATATTCTCAATCAATATTGTTATGGTTTTTGCCGGTCCACCTGGCATTTTCCATCTTCTTGACTTAACTCAAGGAAGGCACGACCGTTAACCCTATTTTTATCAATTATCTGGATATCCTCATTTTCAAGTTCTAACTCTTCTTTTTCTCTTTCAAAAAATCAACAACATTAGCTCGCTTCCATTTCTTAACTACTTTGATTGACGGAATGGGGGTATCAGACATGTTTGTTTATTACTTGAATAAAAATAGTAATGCGGTTTGTACAGATTAAAAGAGAAATGATTTTTTTTAGATTCACATTAAAATGTAGCACAAATTTTGTGTAAGCGTGATGAAACTAAAGACAAAAGTCGCTCAATAAATATTTATAATCAAATATAAAAACGGATGATCAATTTTAATAAAATTTACTATTACGTTAATTTTACATGAAAAAATTGTTCCCTCATAAGCTAACTATAATATTTTAAGAACAAATGGTGCCGAAAATTGTTTAAAAATGTAGTTTTAGACTTAAAGTATACTTTAAACCTATTTCTCCCAAATACTCATGACTCTGTGGAGTATGATCTTGTTTGAACGCGAATAATAAATTTAAATATTAATATTTCACAAAAAGATATGTGCAAATGTAATCAAATGATTAACTTCGATAAAATTTATATTTGTTTTTGCATGAAAAATTTGTTCTTCTATAAGCTAACTATATATATCATTTCGAGAACAAAAGGTATCAAAAGTTATTTAAAAATGCAGTTTTAGTTTTAGAGTATACAGTACCTGGACAAAAGTATCAGACACCCTAAATATATTAATTACGCAAAAACGTACATAATGAGTGTACAGGAAATTATGTCAGTTTATAGCTTAGGTTTCGAAGATGATGTATATAGAATCTTATGTTGCCGAATTTTCTAGAACTCGCGCAATTAAAAATAAAAGAAATGCAATCATTTTTAGAAAGAAAATCCCGACGAAGAAATTTTTGACAATTTTTCTAAAACTATATTTGAAATTTTTATATATGATGATCTAAGATCTTCTGATTCTCAAGATAAAATTTTTTTTTGTTTTGACGAATTTTTGAAAAATAAAATGTCAGATTTAACTGAAAATGAACATGGTCAGATAATCGGCCTTTATAAAAGTGGCACAACAAAAGTAAAAATCAGTAAAATTCTTGGTTTTCCTAGGACCACAGTAATAAGGACTGATTTACAAGTCTCTACTAAAACAATCAGAAGAAATCTACATGATTTAAATATCCATGCTCGTGTTCCAGCAGCTAAACCCTTTATTAATGAACAGCAGAGGGTTAATGGTGCCTTGATAAGAAAGATTGGACTATTAGAAAATGGAAAAATGTCATTTGGAGTGATGAGAGCAGGTACACTTTATTTCAAAATGATGGTCCAGGTTATGTTTTGAGAATGTCTGGAACCAGATAAAACATGGTGGTGGAGGCATAATGGTATGGGGGTGTTTTTCAGGAAAAGGGCTAGGTCCTCCATACATAATTCCGAGACAAATTTTTTTACACTTAATTCAAACATTAGCATTATTAGCATTAGTATTCAATACCAATATCATCAGTAATATTCATTAGATCATTAGATAATGTAATAGCAATTTAAATATGTCTAAATTTTTATTTATTCTCTCTTGTATAATACTCAAAACTGGTGTTTTTTATATTAATATTGATATTTCACAAATTTTATAATTCTTTTTTTTGGTTTGTTAGTTTATACATTGATATAACAATGAGTTACTATGATATATTAAATAAGCAAAATTTAACATTGCCAGAGGTTGATACATTTGAATCTGTTCCATCTACACCTTCAATGATTGAAGATGATTTAGAATTTTGTGAAATAGATAATGACAATAATGTTTATTTTAACAAAAATAACAAAGACAAGTTTTTAAATTTATTTGAATTGGCAAGAGATGTGGAAAATTTGGAAAAAATTGCAGATGATGAAAGTATATATGATGAAGATGATGATTGTGAATTGGAAGAAGGAGAAGAAGAAGAAGAAGAAAATAACAAAAATTCTGAAGATAATGTTAGTGATGATGAATTTGAAATCATTATTGATAAAACAACTGACAGTCATAATTAACAGTTTATTTATGTCAAACTTGTTGAAATTGTTGTTGAATGTTAAATCAGATAAAAAATCACAATCTAATAATGATTTGAATACATATCCAGATATATCTAAAAATTCCAAAGAGAGTGAATTATGACCAAATATCTTTCATTTATTGTTTGAAATCATTAAAGACCTTGGAGGTACAATTGCATAAATAGGTATTGGTAAGTGAAATTGAAAAAGCATCTGTAGTGTGGCATGAATGGTATTCCTAGGAACATCAAAAATGTTTCCATATTTGTATGTCATTTGAAAAAAATCAATATTATCAATTATACCAAGGTTTCAAGTTTTTGGACCATTTGAAAGATCATGTTTGGAAACTGTTTGGTGCATTCTTTTGATTTCCAAGAGTCCTTCATATTTTTGAGTATGAGGAATAACATATACAACTCTAAGGATTGCATGCAGAGAAGATAGAAGTTTTGGATGCCTACAAAGACTTGCTAATATATTATTAAACCAAAAATTCACCTTTCTAAATGTAATTGTCATAATTTATCCTTCATTTGGTCTAATTCTTTGTATTTAAAACTTTCAATTCCAGATTTTAATGGACATTTTTCTTTTGCCTTTGTGAGTTGTTATGGTGTTGTTGTAAAATGAATCCAATCATACCATTAAAGAATTCTTTAATGGTATCTGGGAAGACCTTGTGATATTTGATTAGGGAACTGGGATTAGTTAAACATTGTTCATTTTTTTTAACCAATTCTCTAGAATGATATAATGATTTCCTCAGACTTTGACCGAATTGAAAACATCCACCAGGGTTAACAGGATTTTTTTTCTGCTTTAAAATTAATTTATCAGCTTTACCAAGTTTTAACAAAGCTTTGATGATCAGAGGATTCAATAAATTTAGAGTGTGGTTATTCAAAAAAAATAAATTGTTGTTTTTGTTTGAATAAACATTTAAAACAGACACAAGTTTTGATAAAACATTCTCTTTTAATGCATGGTTATCTGATAAAGAAATATCCATAATCCAAGTTGCCAAGCTTTGTAATGATTTTGTAATATCATTGCTTGATTACATTTTTTATTTAGGCCTTTTCCTGTAGGTATATGAACATGACCTCCATTCTTTTCAAAGCATGAAAGACATATATAATGTGGATGATAGGTAATGAATTTTTCAAATACTGGCAAAATATTATTATTCATCACTGAGAATGTATGCTGAGTTATGCATGGTACAATCAAATCTTTTCCAAGTAAAATTCCATGTATGTACTGTGCAACTTTTTCCACATGATAATACATAAAAATTGTGGTCACAAAATAAGCATTGTCTTGGTGTGATAATTGAATCTTCACAATTTCTGATTTTTTTTAATGCCAGTTGGATGTAAATTAGGAGATCTGTCTAAGTGAAAGTGTACATCACACACACCCAATGAACCTGGCAAAATCCCTGTTTCTTTTATATAATTAGAATTTATTTCCCAACAACCTGATGTCTGCCACAACCTTTTGTAGTTTTTTCATTCACATGCATAAGTTAGACCATCTGATTCATTATAACACATTACTGCATATTCTTGATGAAAATTGCAACTGTCAGTTGTTTTATCAATCATGATTTCAAATTCATCATCACTAACATTATCTTCAGAATTTTTGTTATTTTCTTCTTCTTCTTCTTCTCCTTCTTCCAATTCACAATCATCATCTTCATCATATATACTTTCATCATCTGCAATTTTTTCCAAATTTTCCACATCTCTTGCCAATTCAAATAAATTTAAAAACTTGTCTTTGTTATTTTTGTTAAAATAAACATTATTGTCATTATCTATTTCACAAAATTCACCTTCACTGTCATCTGACTCTTTTAAATCATTTTCAATCATTGAAGGTGTGGATGGAACAGATTCAAATGTATCAACCTCTGGCAATGTTAAATTTTGCTTATTTAATATATCATAGTAACTCATTGTTATATCATTGTATAAACTAACAAACCAAAAAAAAAGAATTATAAAATTTGTGAGAATATCAATATTAATACAAAAAACACCAGTTTCAAGTATTGTACAAGAGAGAATAAATAAAAATTTAGACATATTTAAATTGCTATTACGTTATCTAATAATGATCTAATGAATATTGCCAACACTATTAGTGTTGAATACTAATGCTAATAATGCTAATGTTTGAATTAAATGTAAAAAAATTTGTCTCAGAATTATGTATGGAGGGATGGAGGAAAATAGAAAATGGAAAATGAAAATATACAGTTTCTTAAAATAGAAAAGATCTTATCTATCGCTGTTGTTATGTAGCATTCAAACAAGATCATACTCTATAGAAGCATGAGTATTTGGAAGAAATAGGTTTAAAGTATACTCTAAAACTAAAACTGCATTTTTAAATAACTTTTGATACCTTTTGTTCTCGAAATGATATAGTTAGCTTAGGGAAGAACAAATTTTTCATGCGAAAACAAATATAAATTTTATCGAAATTGATCATCTGTTCTATATTTGATTACATTTGCTTAATATTTAAATTTATTATTTGCGTTCAAACAAGATCATACTCCACAGAATCATGAGTATTTGGGAGAAATAGGTTTAAAGTATACTTTAAATCTAAAACTACATTTTTAAACAATTTTCGGCACCCTTTGTTCTTAAAATATTATAGTTAGCTTATGAGAGAACAATTTTTTCATGTAAAATTAACGTAAATTTTATTAAAATTGATCATCCGTTTTTTATTTGATTACATTTGCCAATATTTTTTCCACTACTAATAATAAAAAAATAATTATGGAATCTGTTCTGTTTGTGCAAGTCATAATACTAATTACCAGTGGTATCAATCATGTGATCCCAATTTGCTAGATCCAGAGTTGGACTAGCAGTGGTAATGAAAAATTAGATGAAATATACGGCTTGAAGCAAAAGGATTTGATAGTTATTATTATTTTGAATGGATTCCTTATGACTGACTTGGAGTTTACAATGAAATAGGTAAAGGTGGTTTTGCAACTGTATATATATGTTCTTGGTCAATTGGTACTGTATGCGGTCGCGTTTACTTCGTCGAAAATTATTTCATCCTCGAGCCAGAGACCGAACGAGTTAGATGTGAGGAGTGTGGGAAGTTAGTTAAGAAATTAGGTGAGGAAAGCGGGGTGTGTGGGAAGTGTGAAGAGAAATTTGTTTAATGAAGTTTTTTTTTGTGACGAAATAATTTTCGACGAAATGAACTTTCGATGAAACAAACTTTCGACGAAATGGGTGTCGACGAAATGGGTGTCGACGAAATGACTGTCGACGAAATGATTGTCGACGAAATGAATCAGACCCCGTGCATATGATGGAAGTTTTAATAAAATTATATAAAACCAAGATATATGAGAGAATTAGAATGCTTTATGGTATTTAAACGTGATTCATGAAGAAGGACATATACATCATGGTCTTCGATCAATATCAATATTATTTTTATTATATAATAGGTTCTAATCAAATGGATTTAAGTTATTGAATGAATAAATTATATTATTCTGATTCTTGAAATTTTTACATTGGTCTTTTTATTGTTATTATATATAAGAAAATATCTTTTTATGTGATTAACTACTTTTTTTATGAAGCTCATATATTGTACCCATCGAATATTCATTCAATCAATTAAATTTAATATCTGAATAATTCTTTGATGAATAATTAAAATATTCGGATATTCATTTGACCATTAAATTAATTATCCAGTGAATGATTGATTTATTAATATTTTTCTCAAAAAAAAAAAAAATCTTTTCATAATAAAAATGGATTAAGTTTTGTTCTCTTTGAGGTTATTTTATTCTCAGCTTGACTAAATAATCTCATTTAGAATGGACATTGTAGGTACACACAAGTATTTAGTAGCCAATTTTTGACAAAATATGAAATCTATTTTTATTATGTTTCCACTAGAGCTTCGGACGGTTCGGAGCTTTAGGTTAGGGTCTACTTGGCAGTCCCTGGTATTCTAATTTTTGCACACTGCTTATTTAGAATTAAATTTATTAATTTTTAATTAACTTATTATAAAACCAGTGTCCCGGTTGATCAAGTTTTTTTGAAGCACAGACTTAATTACTCAAAAGCGTTATAGTTTAGAATCTGAAATAATAAAGTTGGCGGAGATGATGAATTTGTTGAGTTTTATATATGGATTGAACGTCGTTAGGGGTTCTATTCGAATAAGTTTGTTCGAATTATTTATTTTATTCGTTTTCATTGAAGGTTTGTTTGAATGAAACGAATGAACAAATAAAGCGAACAAAACGAACAAAACGAATAAAGCGAGTAATTAGAATACATATGTAAACTTGATAAGTCGGTTTTGGCCTAACTCGGCCAAAAGTTTCACCCCTTTTTTTTACTATTTAAAAAGTCGGACAATCTATATAAAGTCGCGATAAGCGCCAAGTCGGTCAATCACTTAGCCCAAGTATAATTAAATGAATCACGATAAGTCGGTCTCACGTGATATTTCATTATGTGAAGGGTTATCATTACTATTTTAGTAACGTGTGGTTTAATAATTTTTTTAATAAAATATCTGAACCGACTTATCGAGTTTACATATGTACTATATAGTAAAATGCTAATAAAATATACTGTTTTCAAACCAATTTGGCATAAAAGACATACATTATAGCTTAGAGCTTTGGAAACACAACAAAATTTTTTCTTTATTTAACTATTTGTATCTTATCTATTGCAATTTCTGAAAAAAAATATACGAAATAAACATTACTCTCTCCATAGCACTGTTCTGCAAATGCCCCTCAGCTAGCGTTAGTCGTCGAAACTATTTTGAAGAGATGAAATTCAAAACTAAAATTAAAAGTTATACGTCAAAACTAAATCAAAAGTCAATAGTCAAAAATCAAAACTAGTTTCGACTTGTGGCGAAACCTTTGGACTTTTGCACGGTTGCGAAACTCTCGAGTTTTGGAAACTAACACTACCCTCGACTAAAAATCTCAGATTTTTTCATGAATAGGACGATTTTCCAAATGCCTTGGCAATTGAGAATTCTTATTAGGATTAATTAGATTTGTTGATCAACTGATATCAAATCCTTAACACACGTCTCGGATGACTCCATTCTAAATATTGGATATTATTTTTTAATAGTAAGAAGCCCTACAATGATGTTTCCAACTGTTGAACTTTAGGCTTGAACTACAGTTTGGACTAAAGTTTAATATATTAATAATAAACCACCAGTCGATGCAGTTTATTCAAATTGAATTCATTCCATCCTTGAACCAATATATCAAAAGTTGGAATCCTAACGCATTTCCACTTTGTTTGGTAATAATAACATACAAAAATGACAAAGATTCTAAAAATATTACTACCCAATAATTAATATTGATAATAACATAGAAAAAATCCAAGGTTAAAAATTCAATTCCTGACTTCATCGAGTTGATCATACTTGGAGGATCATAGACTAAAATAGATAGTTTCAACATTTTATATTTCTCGATTAGCCAATAGCAAACTTTATATTAATGAATGCCCGTTCCTTTGACATGGTTTCCGGAGTAGAGTCCATAGCCCTGGATCGGGTTCCCGAATTTGGAAATCACATGTTCCACAATTAAATAAGTAAAAAAAATAATGAATTATTTTTGATGGAGTTTTTTTTTAAAAAGGTAAACTTTTATACATTTTATAATGTCAATCATTAAATAAAAAAATAAATAAAATAAAACATTAATTAATTTATTGAAAACTATATAGTAATAATAAAAAAAGAAACAATGATAATGGCAGAAATTGAATTTAATCCAATTCTTATTTATAACGAGCTTGTAAATTTGTGTGTTAAGCCACCATTAAGTGGTAGAGTGATTAGCAATCATAACTCAGCAAGTGCAGATGATTCCAATAACAACAATGTAAATACTAATGTTGGTGATGCTCAATTGGTTCCTTCTCTACGAATCGATTCAACTACTTTGTCAAAAGAAGTTAACAAATTTCGTGCTTGTGATGGAGTTTCATGTATTTATTGTAGAGAATGGGCTTCTTTAATATACAAGAAAAACTTAACTTGGTCAGCAAAAAATAATACTTTAGGCAATACTAATTCATCGTCATCAACTTTAACAACATCAACAACATCAACATCTTCAATGTCGTTAATACCACCGTCTTTGTTTTTGATTGTTTCAAAGTCAAATGGTAAAAGATCAAAGCAACTAGCAAAATTAATTTGTAAAAATTTAAATGAATTTATTATTACCCAACTTGATGAAAAACTTAAATCAAGTGGATCATCGACAACAAACGAAAAAAATTATAGTCTTCTTAATGAAACAGTCGAAAAGATTTATGAATGGATACTATTATCGAGTAGTTTATACTCTATGCCTGATATTTTCAATCTTGTTGAATTTGAAAATTCTTCGTCATTACAATTAGATCTTGAAGGAAAAGATGATGATGAAGATGACGATGACGACGACGACGATGGTAGTGACCCGGTTCATATTTTAGAATTTTTAGAAATTAAAAAATCTAATTTAGAAATTTCAAGGAATAATTTTCATTTTTTGAAAAAAACCACCAAAAAACCAGCACAATGCCATCATTCCAAGCCTGATTGGAAAACTCCTTCAGAACTTGATTCCGACCGAAAGATTTTCAATGATCATTTGATAAGAGAAAAAAATCACGATAAAGAATTACTTAAAACCGATTTAGTTAAAGCGTGGCTGCATCTTAACAAAATTTTAACAAGCATAACACAGTTGGAGACGACTCGTGATCTGATACTTGGCAAAGGATGCGTTGAAAATTTATCAAAGTTTATGAAAGAGCACCGGGATAAAACAATTTCTTTCAATGAACATTGGACTCCTATTGCTGAAACATATAAAAAGAATAACAAGTCCAAGAAATCAAATAATAATAACAATGCAACTTCAGCTGCAAATGATGTTGAAGATATAGATGTAGCGTTTGGTGCTTTCACGAATAATTGCAGAAATGCTATTTCATTATTTAAGAAATCCTTTATTGATAAAGCGTGTGATAATGCTGTTCAATTTGGAGAGGAGGCGCAAGGTATTTTATTGGATTTAATAACGGAAGCAGAGAAACGAGTAACCGGTGAGGGAGTCTTAGATTTTCACAGTGATCTATTGGAGAAATGTAATGATGCCTTGAAAACGGTCAAAGATATAAAATTGATGATATTAAAAAGAATCTCAATTATGCGATCGGAGATTGCCAAAAAAGAGAATGAACTTATTCAAGAGATTGATGCTTTAGAAAATGGATGGGCGAATGAATCACAAAAAACGCTGCAAGGACGGCTAGAGAAAGCCAATAACAAAGAATTTCGAAAGCGAATTAAAAAGTTCGAGAATGCTATGCAATCAAAAAGACAATTTGTGGTAAATTCAATAAATAACCTATTATCAGCCAAAGATTTCACAAGTATTTGTATAAGTTGTTTAGAGATCTTTATGATGGAAGGTGAGGTTTTAGAAGCTATGCAGCTTAGGATACATTATGAATCTTACGATGAGAGGCTTAAAAAGTTATCTTTTCAACGTGAAATTTTATTAAAAGATTATAGACAGGGTGTTGATACTGGTAAAAAAGTATTGGCAGGATTAATTGGAAGAACATTTTTGAAAGAGGCATCAAGATTAATAGAAAGGTCTTTAGCGTTGAAGAAACAAGAGAGATTTTTACAGTCGATCGATCAAAAAAATGTTGATACAACAAAAAAGAAAAGAGCAGAAAAAGAACTAGTCGCGACAAATTCAGAAACAATAGAGACATCTAGATCCGTTGAAACTCCAAAGAAAAATAAAAAGAAAAAAAGAAAAGGCATAAATAATAATAATAATAATAATACGAATAATAATAATAATAATAATAATAATAATAATGATAATAATAATGATAATGATAATGATAATGATATTAATAATAATGATAATGATAATGATATTAATAATAATGATGATGATAATATTTATGATAATAATATTATTATTAATAGTAATGACAACAATAATAGTTCACAAGTGGAAAATGATCTGGTTTTATTTTTTAATGCAGAATACGACCAAATTAAAGAGAAAGATAAGGAGATAAAACAGCAACAAAAAATTGGAGGAAAAACAGATGAATGGAATTTTGAATTAAAAGGAGGGCCAAAATTAGTAGAGAAAACTGAAGATCAAGAACGACAATCCGAGAAAAATTCTATTTCAATAATTAATACGACCAAAAATTTACAAAACAATAATTATAACATTAACAATGGTGATTCTGAACTACAAGAAACTTTTGCACGTTCGTTACCAGTTCCACCTGGTCTCGACATGTATACCAGAGATATAAATCAAACACAACAATCGGTACAATCAACAGCACCAAAACCTCCTCCACTAGCGATGACAACACCACCACAAATAAAACAATTATTATCAACAGCACAGGAATCAATGCAATCAAATCATCAAAGACATGATAATTCTTTTAATGATTTTAATTTTGATGATTTGGGTAAATCTGATTTGGTATTACTTGTACAAAACTTGATTAATGAAAAGTCGCAATTAGTTACTATGCTTGTTTCGATGCAACAAGACGTGAAATTAATTACCAATTATTCATCATTATTACGTGATCGTGATCGTGAACTTCAAGCACTTCAAATGATGGAAGCACGTAAACAACTTGAAATGGAGGAAGCATTGAAATATATTCAAAGGCTGGAATTTCGTATTGCTCAATTAGAAAATAACAATAATAGTGAATTTTCTTCAATCCAAAAGAATGATGGATCGGTTAATACTAACTATCCAATTGTCAATGTGGTCAATGGTGGTGGCATTGATGCTAGTATTGGTGGTAATGCTGGTGGCGGTGTTAGTCTTTTTACTACTGTTCCAACAGATAAATCATCGATTGGCAAGAACAAATACAAACCTCCACGAAGAAACCCTGCTACAAGCTCAAAGATTCAAAGTGTCAGATGTGGAAATTGTGGTGAACAAGGACATGTTAGTCAAGATTGTAAGATTGGGTGTAGATATTGCGGTGATTTAAGACATTTAAGCGAATATTGTACAACGGTTGCTTCCAATAATAATAGTAATAATAATAGTAGTAGCGGTAGTAATGATAATGATGATAACAACAACAACAACAACAATAATAGCATGGAGCTTTCAATTAACACGGATAGTGATGATTTAATATTCTTTTAAATATGCAATGAAAAAAGTAGTTTATTTTGGATCTTTCTATAATATTTGAGCAATTTTAAAATTATATATATTTTCGAGCTTGTAAAAAATTCACATGTACATAAATCTTTATTTATTTGTATATTTAATAAATATGTCAAGGGCTTAAGGGTTAACCACTCGGAAATTAGCGTATGTGGGGGAAAAACTTTTTGATTCCAATAAAAAATTTAATTAGTATTAGTTTCTCTAAAATTTAGCCCTGCTCAAATACCATGCATATCATACCTTTTTGACTTTGGATAAATGTATGGGCAAAAGATTTTCCTTATAACTTTTGAATATAGATTCATTACACAATATCCATTCACTGCACTTTGATAAGTGTCGACTATATTGTAAATTTTATCATCAATCAAAACAGTTTTAGCATTTACTTTAGCCCTTTATAATTGTATCAATTAATAATTTATTTAAACATTCATCCTGTAGTTTCAATCTCTCATCCTTCCCAACAAATTTATCTTTTCACTAATTTAATTCTGTTGTTTCTATAGGTGATAAAAAATGATAAAAATACATTTTACACATTTCACACACATTTTGAAAATTTTCACAATAATAATAATAAATACAATGAATAAATTTTTTAAATTATTTAAATTAAAATTAATTAATTAAACTTTTTTAGGGGTTTTTTTTATTTTACAAAAAGAACCAATAGATTATAAATAATATTTATTTTATATTTATATTGTGTTATATATTTATTTATATTGTGTTATAGCAAAATAATATATTTACTATTTTTATTTTATGGCTGAGTACAAATATCCAATTGATTCTATTGTGATTAAATAAATTGTCCACGAATTTCTATTTCGTGGTTTTACAACACCTGTATGCAAAACAACCGTTAAGGTGAATACTTTTTATTCCACCATCTCCTTTCCTTTCTCCACCTTCTCCATCACCTTCACTCTACCTTTCCTTTCCGCTATGCCCAGCGAGCATCACACCAGTAACTCACAGGACCAACAACCTGCCGCTGACCATGCTCTTTTCTTTCCTTTTATTTCCAAACATTATTATGCGGAGGGAAGGTTGGGATTTACCAACTTCATTCACTACTATTCCTCTTCCCAACCTTCCGCAATGACTTTAACTAAACGAGGCCCGGACCCAGCTGATAATAGCAATAACAACGACAATAATAGTAATGCTAATAATAATAATAATAATAATAACAACAACGATAATAATAGTAACGACCTTAAAGACATTAAGCTTATTTCAAGATTCCATCATTCTGCAACTGTTCTTGACAAAACTGTTTATATGATTGGTGGTCTAAGCTCTCTTGGTAATAATGACAACAACAACAATAATAATTTGTCACTGGCAAAGAACCTTGTTGCCTTTAACTTTTCTGAACTGAAAGTTAATGAAAAAAATTCAAATTTGTCCGTGACTGGTCACGGGGCCATTCATTTGGATGGCTCAAAGGTTCTAATATTTTTTGGTCAGGAAGAATTAAGTCCAAAAATAAAATTATCAGATCCAGCAGTAAAATTAGTTGATGTTGAAACGGGGACTGTCACAGTACCTGACAACATTAAAGGTCAAACACCAGTATCACGTTATCATCATTCAACAACACTTATTGATAATAAGATCTATATAATTGGTGGGCTGGATAAAGATAATAATCCTTTGTCAGACATTGCTTATTTGGATTTGTCATCAAACACTTGGATTTTAGTAAATACTCTACAATTTCCAATAGCAGGTCATTCAACAACAGCGATAGATCACTATTTAATATCGTGTTTTGGTTTTAGTGGTAGTAATAAGTTAACTAGTAATTGCAATGTTTATGATACTTCAAATAGTTCTTATTTATCAATTCAAATCAACGGAAGCCCTCCTTCGCCTCGCTCTTATTCATCAATGACCCTTGTTTCAAATAATAATAACAGCAACGATAATAGCACTATAATAGTATTTGGGGGTCTAGATGAAAATAACCGAGGAAATAATGAACTTTATGCTTTAAATACTTCAAAACTTCCAGCTTTATTATCCTGGACACCAATAACAATAAGTTCTAAAATAAACCCTAATAGAAATCTCATACCGTCACCACGTGGAGGTCATACCGCTTTCACCATTAACGACAAACAAAATATTGGTAATAATGACGTAATGATGATTTGGGGTGGTTACTCTGACAATAATTTGGTTGATTCAGAAATCTATTTTTTTGATGCGAAATCTAGCTCATGGATTGACATCTCTGAAACTGGATACCTTGATAATAATGATGTTTTACCTGATAGCAACTCCGGTTCTAGAAGTTCTAACGTAGTGTTAATAATAGGTGGAATTGTAATTGCTGCCACATTGCTTGTTATAATTATAACAGTAGGACTTTTTTTAATGCGTAAGAAAATTAAATTACAAATTGACAAGGATATTGAAAATGATCCTTATATACGTCCCGGTGGTAAGCTTGGAAGTAATTCGGATTTAAGTCATGAAGAAGAAGCTGAATATAAATCAGTTCAAAATTCCAATAATAGCATTAATAAGAATAATGATGATGATAAATTACAAGGAGAATCTACTCCACCTTTGTCACCTTCGATAACGGATGATGAAAATGATTCAGAACCCACAGAAAATCGTCAACTGTCTACTTCTATTAGTTCAAATATTTCCATGTCCGATGCAAAAAATATGACAAACATACCTGATCTTCCTGTTCTTCCTTCTCCAGTCACGCCAAAAGAAACATTACCTCACAAAATCAAAAGAACGCATAAACGTTCATCGTCAGTTTCTTTAACTGCATATGATATGGCAAACATTGCTCGGGCAAAAAAATTTACATTTCCATTGTCACCTCTGCCCGTTGAAAACGTTTCCAATGTTGTAAAACCATCATCATTGAATTCCGATCCAAATAGAAACACAAATACTCCATTTAAATGGAGATCGACTGATGATGAACAAGAAGTGGTGGATAAACGAGGCACTTCTTTAAGAAATTCTAGTCACAGTAATAATAATAATAACTCACAAGATGGTGATTATATTATTTATGGTGAATATATAGATACAATGTCCATCAGAACTAGCTATAATATTAATAATAACAATAATAACAACAACAATAATAACGATGAAATTTCAATTAATTGTAGTAGAAAATCCAAAAGATCTTCAAAAAGAACAAGCAGAGTCTCATTTGCACCCATTGATGAAAAAATAGAATATAATGAGTCGGATTCATCAAGAAGCGTATCATTAGCCAGAATGTCTGGTAGGTTTTCATATCAAAGCAGTTCATCAAGTATCTCTACTTCCAATTCAATTATTGAAGAGGAAGAAGAGGAACTCGATAATATTAGGGACAACAACAATAGCAATAAAAACAAACATTCGCCATCAACTCTCAAAGGTTTACGTTTATATGATGATCACACAGATGAATCTAAAATAAGTAGATTATCTTTTAATGTATATGATTTCAAAATAGATGATGTACCAATGCCTGAAAATTCATCAACGATAGCTTCAGCTACTGCTCCCGCTTCAAAAACAACCGAAATTGCCAGATATTCGTGATAGTATTAAAGAATGAACGAAGATGTCTGTCTTGTGGGCAATTTAGAATTAATAAAATAACAATTCATATGTTCATACGTACATGGATATATGTATCAGTGTAGTTTGGATCAAGAATTAAAAAAGAAGTCACCATCAACATTATACCCGCATCCTTCTGTACAATTAAAAAAAAAACACGTCAAAAAAAAATATAAATATTTTTTTTTAAAATTCAAATATTTTCTCTTTTTTTCTAAAAAAAAAAAATCTTTTTTATTTTTAACCTGTAATTTATTTTTTTTTTATTTTTTAAAATTTTTTGTATTCACCTTTTTTTTGGTTTTTTTTTTCTCTTTTCTATATTTGTTTATTTTTTTTTTTGTCACTCTTTTCTTATTTTTTCTTTTTCTAATTGATTAACGTATATTATGTTGTTTTAGATTTGATTGGATTTGTAGATAAAGGTGAAAAAGAAAGATATTATAATGATTTACGTGTTAGTTATCATTGTCACTATGTTTTCTTAATATGTTCTAATTATATATATATATTAAGATTTTAAATCTTTCTTTTCCAATCAAACGAAAAAAAACCAACATGATTTTTCCTTTCGTAATCAAATTCACCACCTTACTCTCGACATTAGCAACTTTTCATCCATCTTTTCAATAATTCCCTTTTCCTCTATTATTCTTTTTTTCCATTATATCCTACTTCCTCATATATAATATATAATTATATATATCCATTTTATTTCGAATTCAAATTTACTTTTTTTTTTTTTGGTTTTTAAAACATAGGGGGTTTTTTTTTTTTTGGTAATTATAAGGATAATAATGTATTGCCTTTTTTTAAAGAAAAAAATTTTTGTTCTTATTCATGTTAATAATTAGATCGAGTTCTTAAAATAATAATGTCTAATTTGAACATTTGTATAAAAAAAATTTTTAATAAATATTAATAATAACAATGAGCAACCAAAAAAAAAAATATTATTCTTTATTACGAAATCTCAAAGTCTTGACTTGATGCACATCAATGATCCAACACATGATTTTCCCATCTGTCTCTGTGTCAATGGCTTATCGAAAAAAGTATTTCTTTCTGAAAAGATGATAAAAGCGTTTATTTGGAACTAATAGTCGGATACGAGCGTAAAGTTGAACTAATTTCTGGTCTATTTAAAAAAAACGTAGTTTTATTATTGCAAAAATAAGAATATCCCAGCCTTGATGTTGAGGGCATGTGTGTCAGTATGCCAAGGATATTGCAAATATGCTTAATCATTGATCAAATCAATATTGAAATAGCACCTTGAAATTCTTTTAAGCCGATTTTTTATCTTGGTCTCGTGATTATTTCTTCATCCTAATTTGATTACTCGTTTAGACGAAAACCACTTACGACAAATCAGTTTACTTTTACAAAAAGGTAAGAAAGAAATCAGAAAAATTTGATTATTTAAATAAAATTTCTTGATATCTTATAGTTTGCATAATAAATCTTTATTAAATTGACCCAGGGCACCATCATCATCCTTCCTTTACTGTTGCATCACCATCATTTTTATCATTCATTGATTATGTTGACAATTATACTTCTTCTTTATCATCTTTTGTCGTCATATATTGATCACATTCAATCAACATTTCATCCATCACCTTTTGGTTTACTAAATAATGAGAATGACAAATTCTATCGTAATTTTTCGGCAAAAGGAAGACTTTGTTGTTGCAGTTTATCTTTTTCATGCTTTATTACGTGACAAATGAAGATATGGCCATATTTATTAACGTGGTGCCAACTTAATCTATGAGCTCTAGATCTTGCATAAATACTATGGTATTGAGAAAAAAATTAAATATTTAATAAATCATGTGACATAATTTTATAAGTTTGTTACTTTGAATTGCGAAGAAAGTCATCAACACTAAGTAAAAAATTTGGTACCAGAGTTATTATAGGCACAATAAGATACCATACAACCCTTTTAACGCTAATGTGATAATGGCCCTGTTCCTTAAAACATTCATTTCATATCGACTTGTCATTGTTTGACACCAACATTAATATTTATCGATTGACTTGACAATTTGTATAATTTCATCGCAATACAAAGTAATTCCCAAATGTAGAATGATGTCCATTGCTATGTAATACTCGATTTTGTACCTGAGTCACACTTATTATGAAGTAAAGTAAATTAATGATGATATTGTTGTAGTAAATGATTAGATGTAAAGGCCTACCATTCGGGCTCATTATCACAACCATACTAATACATGTTATCGGAGAACGGAACCAATGATGGAATCGAGGTTAAAATAAACGCGCCTATGAAACAAAACTTTCTAATTTACGTCTACCCCTGTACGCACTATTTGTGGATTCTGTTTAATTCACACGATCATAATATCCAATTAATACTTTAAAAATAAAAATAAAAATAAAATTTATTTAGTAAATTCTACTTGCATACATTATTGTAATACCATCATCATCCAACAGGAGAAGAAGCCAAATAATGCGATTTTTGGGATTAATGGTCACACAAATCAGTATTTAGGTTCGCGAACAGGTTATCACAAGTAACATCATCAGTAATGTTTCGAGCTTAAATGTTATAGAATCCTTAATATTAAGAATCCTAAAATTATGCGCGGTACTAGCACATTACTATCACATTAAAATGCGCTGATCACACATTATCAACAAATAATGTGCGGTCAGTAATTTACATATGATTTATATAAATAGATAAGCTACTGAAGCGATTTTATGATCATCAATATCTATCTATATGCTGTTCAAGTGTTTGCTTTCGGTACGATTGTATATCCGTTGTAAAAATTATTTTTACATCAGCTGCAAAACATTGTCACCTTTTCCATTATTATCTTCATATTCACCTTGTTCAAGCCAAGGGTAGTTCGTAACCAATTCGGATCAAAATCTTCATGTACTTTTTTTATTTAATCCGGTGCAGAAAAAGAATACAGATACTTTTCTGGAAGAAAATTGCCACAACTTTCCATATTAATATATGAAGATTAAGAAGCTTTTTTGATTTAAATAGAATTTTTGAAAGTCAATTAGTTCAAAATTTAATGAATTTCCGTTTTTTTTTTGTAACACACACACTGTATGTTTATGTTGTGCGCAAATGCGTTTTTATTATTATGGACATCCTAATGATAGGCTTAAAAAATTTTCCCATGATACAGAAAATCTTTCCAATAAAAGAGATCCGATTACTTGGACTAGAAAAATTTCAATTTCGGGACTGACATTTATATCATGATAATCTTTGCAGGGAACCATATCCAATCAGAATTTTCTATCTCAACACCAATACAATCTCGATTTAAGTCCATTATTATTATATGTCAATTCTTGGCAACAATAATACTTTTTTCATTATGATATACTTGTTTTAGTTAATTCATTAGTATAAAATTTTATTTTATTGTTGCTGTGAGTTCATATGATTATCACACAAGTATTAATATTAATTTGTATGTTGTTAGTTTTGCAACCCATTAATAGGGATGTTAATGGTCTGGCCTTAGATATCAAAGACCGTTTGGACCGTCGAATTTTTTTAATAAATATTATTTTATTATCACAATTCAATTCAAATTGTTAATGCAGACAGTTTAGATAATAATTCAAAATTCATTCGTAATACAAATTCTTATTCGGATTATTCGTAATTATAATACAACTCAATCTTAATATTAATTCGAATTATTTGTTTTATTCAAATAAACTTTCAATGTAATTCGAATACACAAATTCATAGTAATAACGAATAAAACAAATAATTAGAATAAACCTTATTCAAATAGAAACCAAACCCATATACGGTTTGGGACCGCAGTCCCCGGTCCGATCCTTTGATTAGACCGGACCATTAACAACCCTACCCATCAATACTCATAGCCTCTGATCTTTTATACTCTTCTAAAGCAGCCTAAAAAATTTTAATTGAGAATAATCAAAATCAATGATCTGTAGTTTTTCTAATGAGCGAGCTTGACTTATTGCAACATACACTTGTCCTTCAGCAATCACACTTTCATCAACGTTCAATGTTACACGTGGCAGGGTCAATCCTTGAGTTTTATGAACAGTCAGAGCAAAATGCATTCTAAAGAGGAAATTGTTTTCTTTGAGTGCTCTCTTACCACAAATTTCAAAATACAATATGTTTCTTTCTTTTGCTGGTCGTTCCTTCGGCGGAAGTTAAGTTTTTGATAAAACAATTGGCAACAAAAATAGAACACACATGTAATTTTATTATTTACATTTAAGTAAAGGTTTGTGCATTTAATATGTGGCTTCAAAAACTGTCGAACGATAAACAATCGAATTAATTAATTTTAGCGTCTTCTTGCATTTTCGAAAAGGCATGGTTGATTTCTTTAACAATAATGAATTAATTCAGAATTGATACGTTTTTTAGTGAAGGGAGAAGTATTTTCACATTTTCAAAAAAGTCACGATTTATTAAATAATAACAATAAGGAAATTAATTCCAAATTATTATTTTTTTTAGTAGCAGGAAAAAATCTTTGCATTTTCGTTACGTTTTTTTTAGTAGTTCAAAAAAGACGTGACTGTTTAATATCAATAACAAAAAAAAGCAATAATTTCAAATTATTATGCATCTTCTTTACATTTTCAAAAAAAACTTGGTTGACAATAATGAATTAATTCTAGATTGTTTAGTGGCGAGAAAGTGTTTCCTAACATTTTTAATTTAATTAAATATTATTATTATAATTATAGCCTTTAAAAATTTGGAGGAGCGTTTAATGACATGATCATGATAAGAATAAGGATAATAACTGATAATGAAAAATGATCAATACCTATATCTTTTTATTGTGAAATATGATTTAACATCAGCTTTAAGCTGTTATTCTTTGTGCGGAATTTATCAGACCAAGATGTAAATAAATGTTGTTAACATTGCATTCGGAGACAGCATCAAATATTATATGCAATTGCAAACAAAAAAAAAATTTATGCAAACTGTACATATATTATTTAAATAATTTGTAGATTGATTAAATAAATTTCAGATTAAATAACTTTTCGGATGATCCGCAAGTTATTTGACCAATTAACGATTCAAAAGTTCAGTTCAAGGAAAGACTTGAACAAGTTAAATTGCCAACACTGCGCTGTACATTCGAACCCTCATTCCAACGGATTTTTTTTTGACCCCTGTTTTTATTAATTAATATTAATATTAATATTAATTATTATTATAGTTTTAGTATTTAGTAGTAGCCAGAACTTTTACGGAATTTAGTTTTCTTCCGTAATAGTAATAGTAATTAATTACGGGGATTTTTCTTATTAATTAATTGATTCAAGATTATAGTGGGGGATCACGAGTATACATTCAATAAAAATAGCCGTTCCAAAAAAGGATATTCAACAAAGATGGTGAGAAAAATCATTTACAAATAGTTGCCTAATTTAGAATATTTTGAAAGCAATTTGCGTGTTCTTCAAATATATTGTTATTGTTTCGTGAATTTGAAATCTAAATATAGGTGCGAAACTCCTTTTGATTGACTAATTTATTAATATTAATTTAGGAATTATTTATTATTTTATTTTATTATTAGGAAATCGGCTGATTACTAAAAAAAAATTAAAATATTAATATTACTAATAATATCTTGCTATTTCTATTTTAGGTAAATTCCTTTCCGAAATCTTCCTTAATAAAGGAATAAAAGGGTTCATTCGTTCCCTATTACTATTTGTAATCTAAAAGTGATTCATTGAATCCCAATAATGGTTGTCAACAGAGCCGCAGCATTGTCAAATTTTCATTATTATTATTATTTCAATTACTTGGTACAGTTAGAACCTTTTATGCAAATCAAATTTCATATCAATAAATAGTTAATAATCAAGCATTCTAGGCACAAGACGTCATTATATTAATATATTATTATTAATTTATCATAAATGTCCATATTTCATAGTCTAGACGGTTGGCCGTAGCATTCCTCTTCATTTTTAAATAAAGTAAAAAAAATGACGTTTACATTTTATTTCTGAATCTCCGGTTAATTTAATCACGTGAATTTTTTAATAAAATTAATTAGGTGATATGGGGCATACGCCACCCAATCCAGACAAAGTGAACATTTGGACCGCTAAGGATTTCAGGGATCAAAAATTTAGTTATATTATGGAACTACGTACCCCTATATAAAATAATAATATGAAATATGGAAATCCAAGAATTATAGTACTGTCAGAAGTATTTTGAAAAAAGAACAAGGAGAAAAAATTGCATCATATGTTTTTAAAATAAATGATACTCAAACACTGGAAGCTTATCTAAGAAAAGAAAGGATTACTTATGAAATTTACCAAGAAAGAAAAATAATAAACATCAAGTAAAGAAAGAAGGATGGGAGGTGTGCTATCATCTAACAAAAAACAGAAATCACTTGAAGAGAAACAAAATGCAATAAATCTTATTATTACATGCTGATCTATTTTTTCTTTTTAGTCCTTTTAACAACATAAATTGGGGCATGCTGCAACAAAACCAGACAAAGTGAACATTGGTATTACCAAAGATTTCAGGGATCAAAATTTAGTCATTTGTAATGTGATTATAATTATTAACAGTTTTATAATATTCCATTTGTAATTTTTAAGTGATATATAGAATTATCCCTATATAAAAATAGTTATTATGAAACTCATTTATATTAGATCTACTATGGAACCAAAAAATTACAGCACCATTATAAGTATTTTAAAAAAGGAACAAGGTGAAAAAATTGCTCCTTATTTTTTCAAAATAAATGACACTCAGACACTTGAAACTTATCTAAGAAAAGAAAAGATTACTTATGAAATTTACCAAGAAGAAAGAAAAATAATAAATGAAAGCAGAATGAAAGTGTACTATTACCCAACAAAAAGCAAAAATCTTTAAAAAGAAATTTGATAGGTGGAATGAATTTCAATTTATGCAGAGGGAAATTTCCTCAATTACTTTTTTATTTTCAATCAAGATCATCCTTTAGTCTCTTTGACTTCAATTTGAGCAGTTAATTGGCCATTCTGTTGATCTTTAATTTACTGTTTTCTTCTTCTAGATGATTGATTTTTTCTTCTAAACTTTTTATCTTATCTAATAACTCCTATTTTTGCTTTTTATTTCATTCTTCTGACTTTTCATGAAACTTGGCTACTTCTTCTCTTTCAACATTCAACTCCTTGGCAGTATTCAATTCCTTTTCAAGTTTTTTGGTTTTCTTTGCTAAATGAGATTCAATAGTTTGGGAAGTTCCTCCCTCTGTGGAAAGCATTCTGAATTTTCCATCTTTTAACAAATTGCAATAACAACCTTGTCTATTTCTTTGTAGTCTGCCACAAAGTTCACAATAAGAAAGATTATCATTTTCAAAATCCTCCTTACAATCAGCACAAATAGAACCAATATCAGCAGCAGAATCATCTTCATGGTATGCCACCAATTTGTGAGTGGCATTATCAAGGACTGGCTCATCACTAATTGCATAGTAATTACAGTATGGGACAGATGATTTTGTCCTTTCAATAATTTTATATTTTTAACTTCTTCATAACAATCTATTACTGCTTTAAAATGTGACTTTCAAACTCTTGCAAAATGTAAGTTTCAAAATTTTCTTTAATTGCATTAACTTTCTCTTTAAGTTTTTGAACTCTCTCATTAACTTTTGTCTTTGCTTTCTTTATTACTTTTTTAATCTGTTTGATTTTATCTTTTTTCTCATAAACATCTAGTTTCTTTTTTAATATGTCATTCTCTATTCTCTGTTTGATGATAGTGGCATCTCTCTTCATATTCTCTACAAAAACTCTTCTGTCATGACTGTTGAGTGGTACATGTAATGGTCCCATTATTGGAATAAAAGACCTAACAAATTCTGGGATGATATTCTTTTGTGATGGATGCTGTTACATGACAATTGCTCTTCGAGTCTGGCCAGTCAGCAATTAATGGAATAACATTTTTTTGGAGATAATTATGAAATTCTTGAAAAGGTTCAAATACCTTCATGGCTTCAATATATGATTGAGTAGATTTCAATTCTAGATGGATAAAATCTATTAGTAAAGTGTTTTTAAGCTGCCATTCCTCCTTTTTTTCATGAATCTCAGCATCATAACAATAAGAAACAAGACTATCAAATAAGTCATCTTCAGAAAGAGTAAGTTGATTTGCAAACCTATTGTTATATGATTGGGAAAGTAAAGACATGTAATGATTTTCTATTTGGAAAATTAAAGAATCACAATCAATGAGTAATGGGTCATGTATAGCATCATTTGGAACAGCTCTTGTTTCAGGTATTGGAATAGCAAGGATGGTTGTCATATGATAAACATCACTAGTAGACATGGTCGTAGGCATTTGTAAGCCATGAATATTGTGGTAATCATCAACATTTGGATTAATTGCATTGTCCTGATAATTTGAGAGCTCTTTAGCAACATTTTCTCTATGAATCAAGGCTATACCTTTTTTTCATGCCTATTTTCTCTTGATGATGAACTTAATTGAATACTAGAAAAGGTGTCAATGGCTTGGTTTGGAGTACCAGACTGATCTAAAAACATTGCTATATCCTTTCTTATGGCACTAATTTGTTTATTTCCAACCCCTGCAAGAAAGTAACTTAAAAAAGACAGGCCTTTCTGCTGCTGTGTGATTGTTTGTTCTGCAAGATTCCTATCATTTGGATTAATTAACTTTTCAAGCATGTTTAAAAAAGGTATGAGTTTATCATCTTCAGATTCCAGGCTTTCATGAAGCAGTGTCCAATCATAAATTGGTGGTTTATCTTCTTTTTTTCTCTCTTAAGAAATATTTTTACCATTGATTTAACACTATTAATGAAATCAATTTTGTAGATTTTTCCATCATCATTCAATGTATCCTTAAATGTATGTTCACCAATCACATCTACATCTTCTATATCATCAATGATCATGTCTACATCCTCTATATCACCATCGTTTTTTTTGTACTCATTCATGATATAGCTCATATAATGTACTTGACAAAACTGAGTAATATTTAGCTCCTAGGTTAGATCTAATTATTGTTCCTTAAAGTTTTTTCTTTAGCATCTTCTGTAAATTTTCAGTATTTTATCTCAGGATCTCTTCACAAATAACACATTGTTTTGTTTCCTACTTTTTGGAATTTCCATTTTTTTTAAAATAATGATTTTTATTTTGCACAAGAGAAATAGGTAATTATCAAAATCAGTTGTGATGGTGGCAACTATGTTAATTTAAAAATTTAGAAATTGGAATTATCACAATTTTGGGTTTATCAAGGACTATTATATAATAATTTTATTTGTTAAAACTAATTTATTTTTACATGGAATTTGGAGTTCTTTTATACATTTTGTTTAATTATAAGCAATTCCACCATTGATGCCCTACTTCAAAATTGGTGCCAAATAATTTTTATATATTTGAATATTGTAACACTTTTGAACATCATAACACTTTCAAATATCTGTGTAATAATTTATGTTATAATATGTAATGATTTATGGAAACAAATTTATATATTTAATTACATGAAATGTTGCCACATTAATTAAAAAAATAAAGTATATAGATATTAATATTATAATTACAATATTATAATATCTGAAAGTGTTAATACTAATTTGAAAGTATTTGAAAGTGTTACAATATTTGAAAGTGTTATGATATTTATATTCAAAAGTATTATGGATATTTGAATAATAAGAATCGAAATATCATTTCCATAAAATTATGAATATTTGAATATGGATAAGGGAGAACAAGTCACTACTGTTACTGTTATAATGACATTGAATTTTATTTATTTACAAAAATAGAGATGTTAAATTCACACAATCTATTTATTATGAAAGGGATTTTTGCAAAAAAATTGTAAACCCATATTTTTGCACAATTCTAATTTCCTTATTATTTTTTTTATAATATGACTTTATCTCTGTATCTATCACATCACATTTTTTTATGTATAAAAATATTTTAACAGCTAAAATCAACTTTGTTTATTATGTTTAAAAACCAATTAATGTCAAAAAATGATAGTGCGCAATTAATGATTTTGTGTAATTGTTAATTTAGTAATGATATTCAGCCCAATCAAAATTTTTTACGTGATAAAATCAAAATGTGATCGATGCAAATCATTACCAAATATGCAAATATCTGCTATGCTATATAATTCAAATTTATTTTCTTGATAATTCATATATATATTCATCCATTAATTCTATTTATTATGGACATAAGAAATGCAATTTTACTTTCTCAATGTTTTATATATATATTCATCCATTAATTCTATTTATTATGGATGTAAAATTTATCTTCCCAATAATTCATATATATATTCTTATTTATTATGAAAATTCATAATAATTCATTGTCCATTAATATTTATTAACTCTATTATAGTTTCAATAATATCTGAGTCTGGTATTTATTACTGAATCATGATGAACTAAGATTTTTATTGAAGAAAGATATTTATATATATAGTAAACTTATTATAATTTGAACTATTAATATATCAGGACAACATGCTATATATTAATTCAAAAAATGGCATCCTTGATAT